AATTGATGGAATGTCGGTATTATTTAAACTTTCAGGATGGAGCCATTTTCTTGCGCTCTTCTTTTTTTCATGAAGTTATACGGTGGAGCGCTGCTCTCCATTTCCATACCATCAGTCAGGAGTGCCTTATGTTCAAAGTTGAGTCGACAACAGCTATGGTAGGAACAGTGTGTAACCTATCTTGTTTTCATCTTATAGAGTCGTACTCTTTCATCAACATCAGATGGAAGAAAGGCGAGTGCTCGGACCGCGGTTCGAACCAGGAACTTCTCGGTTCTGAACACGACTTCAAAGCACTGAGCGGTTCCGGTCTAGATTCTGCTGGCCCCAATACTCTCTGTAACATTCTGGCCCATACTCGGCATTCCGGCGAGGCTTCCACGATAAAAGTACGACAAGGAAGAAACAATCTATTCTTGTAATCTCATTGGTCCACTAGCGCAAAATAAAGGAAATCATGTACCCTACGAAACTCAATGCTCTTCTCAAAGAGTTTAGTTCATCACCGTCGGAATGCCGGTTTACTTTCACGTGCAAGACAGAACCATTTTGGCGCCCTTTTTCATGAACTTGATGGTGCGGTGCTGATCTCCGCTTCTATGTTATCTTCTAGAAGTGCCTTATTCTAAAGGCAGAGTCTACAGCCACGTGACAAATGCAGCGTGTAGTCTCTTGTCTCCTGCCCACAGAGTGGTACTCATTCATCAACCTCAGAAGAAAAAAGGGAGAGTGATCCCAAATTGGGCTTGAACTCGGGATCCATCGGTTCTGAGTTCGACGCTCTACCGACTGAAAAAAGAAGGTCTGAAGCAATGTGTGGTAAATTCCTTGCTCAAGGGAAATCGTGAATAAGACAAAGATCGCCAACTTTTCCAATAATGAACGTTACTATGTAGAAACCAGTGTTAACTATCAATTTCTTCACTTGTGTTTGTTATATAGTATCGAAACAAAGTGTGCCTGCTGGGGAGTCACAGTCGGTCACAGTGTGGTATCCATAACGGAATGGTAAAGCTAGTTCGTTCTATAACGTTTTGGCTCAGCCGATTTCGCTCGATCTTGCGGTCACCACATTCAATCTTTATAACTGGGCAGTGGTCAGCTGCATCAACAGCATGATTCAGCCCATTACGTTACATACCAATTGGTAGCTGTTTGTAGCTGAAGTTCGTTGCCTTATCAAACCGCGCACCGATGTAGTGACATCGCACAGTCGTCACAACGGAATTGTAATAAGAAATTCACTAGTTTGACAACTACATCATGCTTCGCTCACAAAGCGCTGTCCACTGTTATACAAGACAATGGGCTGAATCACGTCATTCATGCAGATGACCACTGTCCAGTTATACAGACTAAAGTCGGCGGCTGCAGAACCAACCAGCGGTGTGCACCAAAATGGCTG